ATGGCATAACTGATTGGAAGCTATTAACAAAATATAACTGTCAAAACACATTTGCTGAAATGGTTAAATAAAATACCTTATCCAAAATAGTATATTTCGTACCTTCCAAAAAAGTAGATGGAATAAACGGCTACCAGAGAGCCACATGATCCGCCGACACAATATATTGCGATTGTCGTCGCCCATAACCAACGTAATTGGTTGTCTGTGAGATATTCATCGTTTTTTAAATAGTATGATTGATTATAGAATTCCTGAACAAACTGGAAATAACAATAATAATATAGATGTACAGACATTAAATGTTGATGTAAACATTACACTTGCGCTTGTCTTACTTTGTTTAGAACTTTCTTTACGATGTTCAGGCCCTGGAATCAACTATTTTTGGGTGTTACCTAATTCACATACGGCTTCTTACATCACAGGAAAGAAGAGGATTAAAATCCTAAAATGACTACTTCTAAAATGTTTTGTCGTCTCAGTATTGGCCGATATGTCGTGCCCTTTAGACTGTCATTTCTGAAATAGTCGCTGTTCCAGATTAATAATATTTTTAAAAAAATGTACGAATTCGTGCTTAATTAATTAGTTATGAGTCTGAGGGATAAAAAATGAAAGATGAGCAGAAAAATAGCTTTCAATTTAAACGTAAGTTATTTCAACCTGTTAGTGTATGAATTAAGAATAGTTATTTCATTTGTTTTTAAATGAAGAGGACTAGTTACTAGGCCATCGTCTCAGTACCGGTAACTTACAGCAGATATCCCTGTCATCACACTAATGTTATAACCATATTGTAGTGATGATCCTAGGCCGGCTGCAAGCGCAGCTATAACCAAGCATGGCGTTATACGGCCGTCATCGTCAACTCTGTCGCTCTGAAATGATAAACTCGTGTCAATTTGTTCATTAACATTTACGATTTGAGGTTAATAGTCAATGAATATAAATGTTATCGTTCTTAAATTCAGGCGGGGGGAAAAGGGGCCACCTTTGTCCCCAGTTTTTAAATATTCAAAAATCTGTATCTCATTAACCGTTCCCCAGTTTTTCGTCAGACAACTTTTTTCTGTCTTAGAAAAATCAGTGCTACAACATATCAAAATTGTTTTCCGCCGGAGTCTGACTTTAAATATAGGCCTATATGGTCTAGTGCTATGACACTCGCCTTGGACTACGAGAGATTGGTGGTTCAATTCACGCCTGTGGCAATTATTCTTAACAATTGATTATGCTATGCACGATACAATCTTCAAAGGATATATATATATATATGTATATATATATGCCTATATATAGGGCCTATATATTATATATATGAACAAGATACACTGTATTTACCTTTCTTGATGATATAATATATATATATATATATATATATATATATATATATATATATAGTCAGTCATAAAGAGTCAGTCATACCTAAAAATACTTTCTAATTTAAAAGTAGATCCTTAAAATAACCCTTTGAAAATAGCATTGTAAATTGATTGCGTAAAGTACTATGTATGCTTGCATTTAAACATGATCCGCTGACCGATATAACACCAAAATACAATAACATTTTTTTGACTATATTATATATATTTTTTTAAAAAAACATATGTACCGTCATATCATAATCACATGTTCCCTACCTGATGGTAATCTTGATTGGCATTCCGAGTTTCTTCAACTATCAACTCATTTAGCATTATGACTTTTAAACTGATTTTTTTCTTTGAACGTTTAACTTGATCGACTTGGTCTGTTGAACTTGAAAGCAAAACTGGTTACTGAACGTGTGAAGGGTTTGGTGGTTGTGAATAAAAAATACTCCACAAAAGTTAAGAGTCATGTTGGTGCTGGTACATACAAATTTATCCATCGTGGTTAAGGTAATAAAAAATGAAGATAAAAGGCCTACTTTGAAAATTAATCGTTTGGTTCCATCATTCATGATTTGCACAGCAACAGTGATGTTTGTAAACAAGAATGCAGAAGACTGGAAAAACTTCACAAACAATTCAGAAAAACTGAAGCTGACGTTAACTTTCTCAACAATGAACATAGTACAGTATAGTACCAGGAGCAGCGCAGCATTATTATTATCATTATTAACATTATAATCATCATCATGTCTCACTATCATTATTAACATTATAATCATCATCATGCTCACTATCATTATTAACATTATAATCATCATCATGCTCACTATCATTATTGACATTAAATCATCATCATCTCACTATCATTATTAACATTATAATCATCATCATCATGCTCACTATCATTATTAACATTATAATCATCATGCTCACTATCATTATTAACATTATAATCATCATCATCCTCATTATCATCATCACCCTCGTCGCCAACATACATATCATCATTATCATCTTCATCACAATCATCATCTCCATCTGGATATCAACATCGACAACAACCTGCTAGGAGTTTTACTCCGCCGATCACCTATGATAAGTTGAAATAGGCCATGAACACACTTAGGGAGAGCAGCTTAGTCGGCTAAACTGGCGGTAGCTGAAGTCGGCTAAACTGGTTCCCAGTTCAATTCCTATCGCTGCTCTGCTTCTCTTTGAGTGGGATCTGAAACGCAGGTTACGATAGAGTAGAGTCTTTCGGAAGAAACGTTTAAGCCGTTGGTTCCGTGCGCATAATGCCTCATGTGCACGTTAAAGAACGCAGTACTCTCTTCAGAAAAGGATAGGTGATTGTCCCCCGGTGTATAGCCCAATTACCACCAGTAGTACCCCACTGGAAATAAGTCTTCTTCAGACCCTCGTGGGTTATCCTTGGTGTTTACACCGAATAAATAAATCCATCCATCCATCCATCCATCCATCAATCTTAGACGTTAGTTGAATCAACACCAACTAGAACGTCACAATTAGTGCCGAGATTAACCCTCCCGTGACCAAATGTACGGCGGACAATGGAACATACCGGTATGCTACGGGCAAACATTATAGGCCTAATTCTAAATAATCACTACCGTAACTATAGTAACGGTAAATAGTAACGAACAATGCTATATACAAATTGACGGAGGGATCTTGGCTTTAAACTTATCACCATCAACCCTCATAGGCACCTATTTGCGAGAAGGGCAGTGACATAACTACACCCCAGTAACCTGTCGTCATCTGAGCCACCAAGCTCATATTCCCATGCAAGCATGTGTTCCAGTGACATAACCCTTGTTATTCCATAGGCGTCTAATCCAATGACCGGGGGTAGTAATGTGAAGCGCTTAGAGGCATTAAGCGCTATATAAATATAACATATTATTATTATTATTATTATTATTATTATTATTATTATTATTATTATTATTATTATTATTATTATTATTATTATTATTATTATTATTATTATTATAACTTTGCATACAACGTTTACTACTGGGGACACCGGTTACAGTGGCCTGGAGAACACGAACGCATAACGATACGGAATTTATCTACTAGCAATTGGAAAGCAATAATAAACTCAATCACATTGTGAGTACAATCATTATCAGCAGCAAAAGCATTATCATTATCATTAATGTACACATTATTATTTGTATTTTATTTTGTTGGAAGTGTTCGAAAGCCACATAGAAAGTCATTTATTTTGCTGGCAATCCGGTGTGTATTGTTTTTTAAATATTTTTTTTTTATCAAGTGACGAAATAAATGAAATGAGATAAAATGAATATCATCATCTCCATCATTAATAGTAATAATTGTCGACTTATATAGCGCATATTTTAGGGACCTCTATGCGCTTACATTATTACCCCCCGGATCACTGGATCAAGCACATATGGAACACACACTCAAGCCCCGTGGGGGAATTCCACAATGTTGCAGCTGTATTCAGCGCTGGCTGTGTTTTACCCACTTGTACTCCTGGGTGGAGAGAGACAACCGATAATGTGCCTTGCCCAAGGACACAAGCGACTTGCACAGCAAGAGTTTTGAACCCCGACTTCAAGGTTGGGAGTCCAACCACTACAACATAATTACCATATCAACATCAACATCATTACCATCATCAACATCATTACTATCATCGACAGGGGCGGATCCAGAATTTTTAAAACTGGGTGGTAGGGTGGCGGGTGCGGGGGAGGGCACACACAATTTTCAGATTAGATAACTGAGTAGCGCTTATTTCAATACATAACATTGATATGCATTGAAATTTTAATTTAGTGTTTTTTGGGTTTTTTTTTTTTTTTTTTGGTAATTTGCTTGTGTTCGTGTGTGTGTGTGTGTGTGTGTGTGGGTGGGTGTGTGTGTGTGTGTGTGTGTGTGTGTGTGTGTGTAGAGTGGTGTGCTCTATACCGTGGTCGGAGACTGTAGACATTACGCTTACTTACAAAAGAAATTCTAATAATGAAAACAGACCGCGAAAGAAATGTCAAGACCACTATAGAGTAGGCCTACACATTCATGTGACAAACCCAAAATAAAGAGAAATTAAGAGAAAAAGAAAAAAAAACAAAACCAGAATTTAAAAAAGAAAGTGAAATGGTTGTTTACACCCTGTTGATTATTCTATCGTAAAGCATTTAAACGAGTTTACGATAATGTAACATATTGTAAAGGATACACAAAGGATAGTTAGCTAGGACAATTGCTTGTAGTATTATCGCACGGATATTTTGGTTGAGGAGACGTGTGGGAGTAGTATCATGTTAGGGGCCAACAATCTAAAATCGGGAAAAGGAGAGAATATTTTACAAAGGATTAGGCCTATACGCAAATATTTATCAACGATTTGAACAATAAATGCTGATTACTACCACCGGAAAGTTATAAAATCCCCCAAAGGTGTATTGTTTACTGTAGTTATGACTGGGGTAAAAATGTGCTAAGCGAATAGAAATTGTGACAATATTTGCGTTGTAAGTCTACCATTCTTTACTATAATATGGGAGCTTGATACATTTAGCCTACAAAACAAGTACAAAGAAAAACAACACACATATAACGCAATAGAATAATCTGGTATAGGCCTATTTAAAACGGTTTTATTTTTCACCTTTATGAGATTACATCATTACAGTACATTTTAAAAATTTTATAATTTAGCGATATCGACGAATTTACTGTAACTTAACAAATGGAAAATAATAAAACATATATACTTTTAAAGACATAAAACACACTTATTATTTTTGGTATATTATAAAAATGTAAACATTTTAATCATTAATAGTATTTATTATGATACACGCCAATTAAAAGTATAAATATTCTATATATATGTATATATATATAGGCCTATATGTATATATATGTATAAATTATAAGCTATAGATATAAAACACATTTGTTATTTTTTGTTATGTAGTAATTATCATTATAATTATTAATATATTAAAATTTATTATGATACACGCCAATAAAAATGACGGTTTTAAACAAAATAAATTATATGTAATAATGTAAACATTATGATTACTAATACTAATAGTACAATTTCTTATGATACACGCCAGTAAAAACGGTAGTTTTTTATATAAATTATATGCTGTAGCCCTAAAATCAATATTGTAATACTCGGATTTTACATAATACACATATAATATTATGCTGTATCATTATAGTACAGTAGTTATCCAATATCATAAAACTTGCTTCATCTTTATCTGTATATCTTGACAAACATCAATATGCTGTACGTTAGTCTGGTCAGTGTGTAGCAACTAAATATTATAATGAGATTTGGTCGTTACTTTATGTATGTTGAAGTATGTTAATTAATGTATGTATTTATGTTTATGTATGTTAATTGTCAATGTACTGCGTTGATATTAAATTATTTAGAACAGTTGCAGAACTACCTTCACATTTGCTGTTCACCGATTGGTGATGTGTTGAGCCAAAGCTAATTTTAAAACTAGACGATATCTCAGCAAACGTTTTGTTTTTAGTTTCAGGTACGAAGAAATATAAGAAAAATACTATCAATACTAAATAACCGGAGAATATCAGAAACGAGTATCCCTCTAAGCCATCCTGTAGGGAAATCAAACAAGGAAAAGGTAAAACAGTCAGTTAAATTAGTTAACCAACATTAAACACATGATTCTGAAATCGTTCTTATATAACTACTTACTAACACTGAGAAAGTCATGACTGTATATACTTCTCATTAAATAAATATTGTACACTTATATACCATGGTTATAAAGAAATTGAATAATTCCTGAATGATTTGTGAACAGTGAGACAATAAATTACGGAAGCCCGTTAGTGCCACCACTGAATTAAAATTTCAGATCCGTTAAGTGATCTGTTTTATTTTCTCTATGGTTATACAAGCGAGCGTCAAATACGTAATTCCAATGTTTTTATAACAATTTGACCTGACTTGACATTACTTTGGAGCATTTCCCAAATTTAATCTAGTTTCCTTTGAAATCTTCTGTGCTTACATCTAAAAATAAAGTGTATTGAAAGAAAATTTGAAATAATATACATTTACATGAATTACTATAAGGACAAGACAGATATTGAAGGTACAGTGACCACATGTGGGGGCACCCTCTAACCTGCAGAAGATACCCTTGCGTATGAGGAATATACGACTGAACTTCTATTTGCATTCGATATTTAAGTCAATTAACTTTAATTTAGACAATTTCAAAGGTCATAAAAATGAGATAAAATTCTATACCGTTAATTCTGTCAGCTTCATGAAGTTTTATGGGCATAGACATTGGTGGCGCCCTATTTAATTCAAATTACAGAAACCTGATACTGTAATTGAAATCCTTACCAGCATAAATGGAAATGCAATTCCAACGACAAAATTTGACCACCAGTTAAACTGTCCAGCAATAGACATGGCGGCTGCTCTTGGGCCTTGTGTTCAGATCTCAGGCACTATCACCATTGTCATAGCTCCTAATGTAAAATAATACAACAGTATGTTTGAATAAGGAAACATAAGATAAAT